TTAAAAGTCTGTTTTGCACAGCGCTGAAATCAACACAGAGTTTTAATGTAACAGGTGATCCCAGTAGAGTACCACTACAACACTAGACTACAACTCTACAACAGTGAATCTCAACCAGAGGTGTTTGTACTTATGGGGGCGGCTGTGGCTCAGGAGGTAGAGCGGGGTCGTTTCCTAACCAGAGGATTAGCGGGTCAGTTCCCATTGTTCCCATTTTGTCCAGTCAACATGTCGAAGTGTCCTTGAGCAAGACACTGAACCCCAGTTGCTCCCGGTGATGTCACCGGTGTGTGAATGTGTGAGTATTTGGGAGTGTGAATGGCCGAGTAGTGTAAAAGCGCTTGAGTGTGCTGTGAAGCGTAGAAAAGCGCTATACAAATATAAGACCATTCCAGTGTGCGAGTCAACACACACCTGGTACAGACATGAGCATGAGCCTCACTTGAAATGGATGCGAGATGCTACACTTTTGGTCTGTGCCACTGCGTGTGCAACGTGAATGGCTGTGCCTCTAAATCTGATCAGCACAGAATTGGAAATCTCAGAGTGATTGGCCGGTCACTAGTCGAGGCTGATCATGCTGAAAACCGGCCATTTCTGATCTCAGCTGATTGATTGACGCATCTCTGATGAGTAGTATTACCATAACATCAGAATCAGCTTTAATCGCCAAGGAATTTGTCGAGAGCACAGAGGCCCCCAGTGTGTTTCAGGCAACAGACAACAGAATAGAGCATTCAAAGGTGGGAGAAGTGTGGCAGAAGGAGGGGAGGCAGTATTCACAAACATTATATACACATTTTGAGCTATCAGACTGTGGTCATTTCTGAGTCCTGTTGCTTCACTCATGGGTTAAGTGTTGATCAGAGCGACGGCCCGGGGGAAGAAACTGCCCCTGTGCCTAGTTGTCTTGGCGTACAGTGACCTGTAGCACCGTCCAGAGGGGAGGAGTTCAAACAGTTTGCGTCCAGGGTGTGAGGGGTCTGCAGAAATCTTTTGATCCGTTAGGTGTACAGAGGCAGGGCAGGTTGCCACCAATGGTTCTTTCTGCAGTCCTGACTGTCCACTGGAGTCTGTTCCTGTCTTGTTTGGTTGCTGAGTCTGAGTTAGTGTTTCCTAACACTGTGACATCTTTGCACCAACCTTCATATATGTAGAAACAAATTCCACATCCCCTCAACTTTCCGGTTTGCCCCTTCACTCGATCCACTCTGTGGATCTGGAAATCCAGGAGCATAACAGCTTCATCCTGGGGTCAAATCAATGCCGCCGATCGTGAGAAGTCAGAATTAGTCTGGTTGATGAGAAGCAGTTTGTCCATTTTGTTGGCAAGCGAGTGGAGGTTTATTAGATGGATAGCCGGGAGTGGCGTTTGGAGGCCTCTCTGTCAGAGCTTGACTCAGGCACCGGCTCTCTTTCCCCTGCAGCGGTTCTTGTAGGTTCTGAGTATCGCTGCTGCTCCACCAGCCAAAATGTCAAAACAACTTAGGCCGTCCATAAAAACAAGAGAAAAGGTGTTCAGAGTGAGTTGTCGGATGTTCAACAGCTCATCTTTCGTGAAAGTAATCCCAGATGGGTCACAAAAGACCAAAGCAACAAGAACACAGTAGAGCACGTCACTGAGGTGGCCACACACATGGCGCCATCTTGAACAACCAACAGTGACAGTCTGGCTGCACAAGATACATCTGTTTCCCATGCGTCTGTTATTTTAGAACTATAAGAAGAGTAGTTAGATAAAAGACAACACAAAAGGTTAAAACATGAAGTTTCTTTTGCTCCAGATTGCAGCAAGGCACATGAAACTTGACCAATATTAAAATGAAAACAAAAAAGGTTGGGAACCACTGGTCTACACTCCTGGACAAACTTATTTCATAAAGAAATCCCTGTTCTTGGATGGATGGATTACAGGCCTAGTGTGCACAGGTCCAGGGGTCCAAAGGATCAGCGGTGTCACCAGAGGAGACACAAAATGCCTATGAACACACAGAAAACCACAAGAGAAATATGCAAATGACTTTAAATAGCTGCAAAGCAGCTACAAAGACATGCAAAACCTCTTCAGAGTTGCAGTGCTATCACAAAGAGTGGCAAAATGACCATAAAGAGACTCAAAAAAACAACAGATGCACAAAACAAGAGTATTAGATGCAAAGCGAGAGAGAGAACAACTACAAAGCTCTGCCCGATATCTTTAATGAGCTGGATTTGACCATAAATGGAAACAACTGAAAACCCAACTTCAGAGACACAACTCGGTTACAAAGTCCCACAAAACTTATTCAGTCTGTGTAAGCACAAAAAGAAGCAAAGCGACAGAAGTAACACAAAATAACCACAGGGACTGACTACCAACGACACAGCCTTTTTGTGCTTTTCACGTGTGTCCGGGCGCCTGTTGTTTTATAATCCGTCCAAGTTCAGCTGGACACGGCGCTGAAACCTTCGACTCTGAGTGACTTCATTCACTGGCCTATGGCCCCTGACCGGCCCTGCTCTATTTACATAGAATAATAAAGCACTTGTTTCCAGTGTAACAGACACTTACACACTGGGAACAAACAGTTGGTGTCAAACTAAATGTCCATGCTATTGAACTGCTCCCCACTTTAGTTGATTTGGGATATTCAGTCGTGTAGTGCTTGATAGCAATGAATAGCTGCAGTGTAAGGGCATATAAAGGCTTTATATTTCTATTAGACATGCACACAGCCCTGCTTCACACTGTATATGTTGTACAAACTGTATGTTGTAAATGCTTATCAGTCTGTTTTAAGGAGAGTATTTTTCTCTTGAATTGGCGGATTGTACCATAGTGATCGAATGCAAGAACCCAAAGTAAAGGTGCTATCCTGCCATGTCATATCCTGTATTTTGCCACATTTGTTTAGATGTTAGCTGCAGCAAATTCTATATTTCAGATGTGTTCTTTTTCAATGCTGCGTTGGCTTTGTGTTATTAATGTATCTAGCATGGTAACATCAGTCTTCAAATAAGTTTTAAAAACTGCATGATATTCAGCTGCTGCTTTTGGTATTTTCTAATTATTAAGATGTCTATTTAAGCAGAATTAATTCTGAGATAGAATATGAAGAGCTGAATCAGGCTTAGATTAGCAGGCAGATTACTTATTAGTTCTTTTCTTAAACTTTTGGTACATTTTGCTTTGTGCCCTTGAATTAAAGAAACAGTGTAACAGTTTGGGAAGTACTGTTATTGGATATTGTTGCAGTGGTTTAGTTGATATGAATTTGTTGTTGTTGTTGTTTTTGGACTTTAACATCCAGGTGGAAAAAATATTCAGTGTGGCCTTCAATTTGTTATTCTGACTCCGATATCTGGAATGTCCTTGGAAACATGGGAATAAAAGCCACCCCATCAGTTACAGAATCTAAATCCAATGGCAAGGTTTCTTTGATCAAGTCAGCTTTTTTTAAATGGGCATGAATGTTTTGTGTGTGGTTTCACCTGTTAACAAGCTACTACAGGCCTGTGACAGGAAAAACTAGCTCCTTTGAGCTGTTTAAATCTGGCGAACGGGGGTAATGCCACGTGAATGCGGAAAAACCTCCTGTTGTTCTGACTTGGTGGAGGGCTCACATGTTATTCCAAGGCTGTGGAGCGAACATTGTTGCCTCACTAGATAAACTAAATTATCTCCTTTTGCTGTTTGTAGTGGTTTGTTACCAAGCGAAAAAAACAGTGCTTGCCTGAAATGATCTTTAGCCTTTGTGTCAACAGTTTTTTGACATGTCTGTTGTTCTTTTCACCAAAGTCGGAGACTGGCGTAAGTAGTTTTTCCCTCTTGGCTGTTTTTAATATCTGTTCAAAGTATATGCCATAAATACAGCTGAACTATCTTTGAGTAATATAGACGGATCCAGGGAGTGGCCAGGGGTGCTACCGGCCGTGCCCAGAATTCGATTGGCCACCCCTGGTACCAGTGTCAAAATAACCCTAATTCTCCCAGGCCAGCAGTAATTAAGTAGCGCAGCCCAAATTAGCTAAAGAAAGCAATACGTATATCTCATTTATTCACAAAATATCTATTTTGTTTCTTAATAATGTGGTGTTTATTTCATAGAACTAGTTTTTTTTTTTTTAGTTTTTTATTTTACTTTTTACGTACATTTCAAATGTGTTTCTCTGTTTCCAGACTTTGTGCTAATCTAAGCAAACAGCTTTTCAGTGCATAGACACGAGTGTTGTCTTTTGAGGAATATACGAATCCATGTATTTCCGAACATTTTTCCCAAAATGTCATTGTTTCTTTCTGTAATGCTCGCTGTATGGTTAGCACAGATGTTTACTGCTCTTCCTTTAATATCACTGACAGAAAATGCCTTTGTTTTTATGAACACATTGTGTATGTGTGTGTATTGAATGCATGCAAGTCTTTCTGGTTAAACTGTGGTTGTTTTGGGGGCTGAGTTGTTTCTGGTTGGATGATGCTAAATGATTCACGAGCAGCACAGAGCTTATCACAGCATGACCAGACTGTTGGCTTGGTCCCATCACAGGCTGAGCGTTTGTTTCAATCCAAAAACATTTGACTTATGAATGCCTATATTTTGTGCTATGCTATATGCTGTGTGTGTACAGCTATACCAACGTTTGGCTGATTGTAATCTGACTAGAGCTGTGTGGAGTTGGCTTTAAGTTGTTAATATTTGGTGTTGGCTAAAGTGACATTTTTCATTGCTGGAGTTTTGGTTACAGATGAACCAAAAACAAATGTTTCTTCCTTTCTCTGCTCACTACCTTCTCTTTAAAATACATTTTATCAGACATATTTCAGTCATCCATCGTCAGCCATCGGAGACAGACACTGTTGTTTTCAAGTGGAAACTTTTCTCATTTCTGTACTTTACAGGTTCTTTACCTGAGGAGCTGGTTTTATTTTATGCTAAACTTCTATTACATTTGTCTGATAACTGATTTCTTTGCAGATTCAGATTAATAATACAAAATCAACTTAAAATATTATTAGAGGTTATGATGGTTTATTTTTCACTGGGGGTAAATTCACAAACTTCTCAAATGTACATAAATTCAAATTAGCTCCACCTTTTACCAGCTGCAACAATAAAGTGATGAACACAATAACCCATCACTAATAATATAATTTACATTAATGTGAAATGTGCCATTCTGCATAATGAGAACTCGAATTATTTGTACTTTAAATATATTCTGATGCTACTACAGTACCTTTGTACTTTGACTTTTTCTACACTGTGCTATTATTAGTTGTACTTAAGTAAACGTCTGAGTACCTCTCCCCTCAGTGACACAATCCAACTTTGTTTCATTGATGGAGGAGTTTATTTTCCTCCAACAGTGGAGCTAGAGGAAGGTGACACCTGACACTGGTGTTTGGCTGCTGTTTGCACAGTGTTGCAATAGAGCACAGGCGTGTTCCTCCAAACGGGGGCCCCTGGGCAAATGCGTGTCAGACCGCATTGACTCCCACAGTACATGGTACTTTCATTATTTCCCTGGACACCCAGAAACCACCCGGCGCCCTGACATGGCAGCAGTTTGGATTTGTAAGCAACATGTTGATAATTCCCTGCTAGCAGCTTCTCATGTGACGATTTACCAGTTTTCTAGGACAGTGAACTCTAAATATTTAGATTTTTAACAACTGATCAGACAACAAAACACCTCAAATATGTCAAATATAAACTACAAAAAGGTTATTTAACCCACCTGTTATGTTCATTTCTCAGGAACAGCAGTGATGTTCCTGGGTAAATTTTATCATTACTAACCATTTCAATCACTATTTAGTGCAGATTATGGTTCAATGAGGATAATGCACTCTTTTTTTCATAAAAAAGTCATGTTAAAACTTTTTTTTAATGTACATTGGAAAGACCTACATATAAAATACATTCTTTTTACATGGCAGATGTTTTTTGGAATTTTATTTTACATTTTGAAATCTTTTTATGAAGTGATGTTGATAAATTAACATGAGACACCTCTTCTGTTCAGGGTCTAATTGACCCGAACAGTATCTTTGTAATATAAACATGCAGGGGGAGGTTGCAAATATGTGAAATGAACCATTTTCATGTTATATGTTAATTCCACATATTAAGCCAAGCAGAAGTTTCATACCAATAAAATACTTTAAACTATTGTTTTTTAAATGTTTTAACTTTACATAACAGGAAGGTTAAATAAATCTTTACAGGTTTTCATCACACAGTAGGCACCTTGAGATTATTAATATCCTCTGCAACTAAGCTCTTATGGTATCTGCTGCCCTTGTTGGCTAGCTGTGAACTATCTCTTTACCCATGGCTCCAGTCTGCATGCTAAGCTAGGTTAACCTAAGCTACACGTACTGTACACTGACATTAGGAACATCGAGCTCAAAGTTTAATCCAACAGTCTTGCTTTATTTAATGTGGGGTATTTGAATACATAACGGTGCATTAGGTTTCAACTTATGTTTTGCCTGTAAATTTTAGTCTGCATAAGCACATAACTGCTGTGCAGCATTTCTCTTAAATGATCAAAGTAGCATTACATGGAAATGCTCAACTACAAGTAGCCTACTTTAAATATGTACTTCTGACAATATTTGTTATACCTGCTAAATGCACATTTCATTTAGTTGAGGTTCAGGGATTGTCATGCACCCCTGTGTAAATGTTTTAGCTTTTTTAACAAGGTGTACTGAGTTTGTTTATGCTTATTTCAAATTTTTACTTTATTTTCGTGTTATTTGATTAAAGTTCTGGTCTTGCTCTGCCTCATTGTTTTTGAAGCTGCTATGACAAACCAGTTCCCTGAGAGCAAGCTGGCTGGGCTCTGAGGTCAGAAGTGGGAGTCTGGGTGGAGAGGTTGTTCCGGAGCTCACTGCCATTTAATGGAGAATTTACCCAATTTATGCATCAAAGCAAGTCACAGTTTCTCTCTTCTTGCCAGAAGGATGTGTTGGTCTGCAGGAGACGCAGTGTGAAAGGAGTATGATCAGCGAACACACAGTCTCCTGCCGCTTGGACTCGAGTCTGTAGGAAATCTGTCCCCTTGAGAGGACGGGTCGACGAGCAACGACAAAGGGCTCAGCAGTGACCCCCTGATGCTGCTGTCACCATGTCAGGAAGTGGCTGATGGTGAAACTGTGACCTCTTTGTCAGCTCTGCTCACTGTTACTGAGGCTGAATGAAATGATCTTTGTCCACAGGTGTCTGTTAACGTGTTGCTAACCAGAGGCGGCAGCTACGAGGAGCTCCCATCACCTGCTGCAGTAAGAATTCATTCACTCTTTACACATTCACACCACTTTATGTAGAGAATGGCAGTGCAGTCCAGTGCTGGTATCTGTAGTCCTGTGGCCTCTGTGTGTCAGGGCCACCCTCCTCTGCTAACTGGGGGAAAGTGAAGCTGATCAGATGAAACGCAACACTGGCTGCAGCTTCACCCAGCAGCTGGTTGCAGATACAGTCGCCTCTGTGTGCAGCAGTCACATCTGTCACACCCTGGGACTGATGGATGACAAAACAAACACACCCCGAGTGCGACCACAATCGCAGTCTGTGTGACTATGCTACACAACTCTGAGAAAACACTGGGAAAACACTGAGTTTAGTGTGTGAAAACTGATATTTCACTAATGGTGGTTTTCTTTGGGATGAAAGAGAACAGAGCCAGATGTACAAATTGGGCTTGTGCTGAATGTGTCGGTGCACTCTGCAGCCGCACAAATACTCAAATGCCAAAGTGACACTAGTCCCACACTGGACATTTCACTGTGGTCGGACTGAAACCCCACAACTCCATGTCCCAGGCGTTTACTGTCCAGCCGCAGTTTGTGTGCTCCTCAGAAGAGGGAATAATGTCTGTCTTTTATGGTTCTGCTGAGGATAAGTTCAGGTTCTTCTGAATAACACCCAGACTTTATTGATCCCAGTGGGAAATCCACCAGCTACCCAGCAGGACGTAAAGTACTTCACAGTATAAATATATAAGGTAGTTACCATCAGCTCCACCTTTACCAGCTGCAGCATTAAACTGATGGACACAGTAATTAGTCACTATGATCCAGTATCAGAGACATTACTGGGACACGGGCCGTTCTGCTGGATGAGTAATGGTACTGATGGTACTTCAGGTTTATTTGGATGCTGATACTTTTGTACTTAACACTTTGAATGTAGGACAGGAGTATTTCTGCACTGTGGTATTACTACCTTTACTGCAGTAAAGTACAGTATCTGAGTACTTCTTCCACCATTGGCATTGTCAGCTTCATGTAGTTTAATGATCTAGGGGCAACTTGGAGGTTCAGTGTCTTGCCCAAGGACACTTCAACATGTGGACTACAGGCACCGAGATTCGAACCTCTGACCAGGAGACGACTGCTCTACCCACTGAACCACAGTTGCCCCGAGCAAGTGGATCTTCCTGGCACTGAGTGCAGCTGTACTACAGCTGTCAGTGAGGCGGTGGCCCAGTGACTGTTGGAGGGGAGGAGGAAAAGGAGGGTGTTTCTCTACACAGGCTGTCTTTGTGGTTTGCTGGACAAAGAGCTGTTCTCAGTTCCCTGCCGTCTGCGTTGGGGGCCACAGTGGAACAGTACTGGACACTGAACCCAGGCAGACGCTCTGCTGCTCTGACCTGACGCCTTCTCCTGTCTGGTTTCACTTCAGGTTTATTTCTGGGACGACATGAAGTGCTGCCTTGGACTCTTCCTGCTGCTCTGCTGTGGGGTGCTTCATTTGGGTGAGTGGCCCAGGCCCAGACAGATACTGGGGGGTCGGAGAGCCAACAACCTCATCTTCCTTCAGATAACATTTTAGTTTTAATAACTCCTCCTTATTTGCACTTCTAAGCAGTGTATAGTGTTAACAGTGCATAGGTGGATGGATAGATTTGACAGTAGTAAAGGTAAATACAAGACTGCAGTCACCAAAGCAACTTGGAGTACTTCACACCAACAGGACAGCATTAATACAAAATAGGAGAGAAACGATATAGATAGTGTAAATAGACCAGACCAAGGAACTGAACAGTAACAAAATAGGATGGGACGGAATCGCCAAGTGTGATGTAATGAAATGCAGTGACCACCAGGTGAGACTGAAGCTGTGATGTGAAAAAACTGAATTGGAGCAGAGCTGCAGTTTCCTGGAAGTGAGTTCTCATATTTGGATCATAAAAGCAAAGCCTCTTGGTCTGAAATCTGCAGATCTCTCTGCATTATGTTTTTATCGCTGACAAAACCAATGCAACTGCAGGGGTGGAGGAAAAAACAGTCCTACATCTGAAAGCACTAGTTGAACTAACTGCTGTTACAGAACCGAGGTTGTCTCTGAGGAGCCTGAAACTGTTGCCTAAGAGGAGATGTGTTCAGTTTTTAAAGTGAAACTTAAATGAGTAAGTCTTTGTTCTCAAAAGGTGAGCTTTTCAAAAAGGTACTGGCTCTAAATGTGTGCAGGTAGCTTGACCCAAAAAGCTCAGTTAGATCAGTCTGGAGCTGATTTTCACCAGCAGGTGGAGTGTAACCGAAGCCCAGCCACACATTTTAACAGGGTTTCAGTGGGCCCTTAAAAAAAACAGATTAATGTGTTAATAGTCACCATGAATATGTGGCTGACTTGTCTTCATATCGTATTTGGCAGTAAGGCTGTGACTTAACTTGGTTTAAACCACTGAACCTGATGACACCTGCAGGAAGCTGGTTGTAGTGATGCAGCCGACCCAGTGGGACTGTTCTCCTGGAGTGTAGGTTCTCAGTGCCGTGGCCTCCGCTGACAGTGGATTATTTAAAATACTGTCTGATCGACCGTAACTAACAGCTCTAACATGGCTCTACATGTTCAGTAAAACCGCTGCCTCATGGGAAAACAGCAAAATACTGAAACACTGCAAATCCAGAAAACAAGCAGAACCATTTTGTGCGACTTGAAGAAGACTTGGAGAACAGTTAACCTCACTGAATGGGGCTGAGCCAACAACATGCTGGGTCAGTTATTTAGTTCTAAGACTGTGTCTGCATGTTGTTATTTACCTCCACTGTGATGTTGCAGCTGGGCCGGCCTACATATCTGAACCAGTCGTGCAGAGACATCCTGTAGCTGGCTCCAGCACTGGTTGGAAGTGTTCTCGGGATCTGGTTGCATTTTCTCTTGCGCTTGCATTGTCACCTCAGTGAAGACGGCTCTGTAACGTTTTACTTTAAGCTGCAGTGTCTTGCCTCGGGGAAAAGCTTCACCTCTTCTCATATACATATGGGCACATCAGTGTTGTTTGAAGACTAGCATGAAAGCTCCTGAACCTGTCCTTTGAACTAGACTTGGATCTTGATGCAGCTGAGCTCACGTCAGTGGCCTCAGCTCAGGACCAGCTTACGCATCTGTTGCTCAATACTGATTTGGTCAAGTTGAACAAAGTAAAACCAGTTTCTTCTTCTTCAGGTTCGGGGCTCAGCTGCTACAAATGCTCTGATTACACCGGGCGCTGTTCCAACGTCCAGGACTGCACGTATGAAGACTCCTGTATCTCTCTGAGTGAACGAGGTCAGTGTCACCCAGCTGCCTGTAAAGGCAGCAGTACTTTGCTGAGTGTTGTTTAAAGGATTACATGGAACAGTCTGTGTTTGTAGAGAAATTAAACGGCAACGCTGTTGAGCACTGCAATTTGTGTGTTAGGGTTCATGCTCGTCTTTGGGAACAGCAGCTGAAGAACCAGCCTCTCCTCGGTCCATTTAGTAGCAGCTCTGAAGCTTTAGCTCATGTCACATGGCCTTCAGCAGCACATAGAGGTGGAACAGTTGACTGGTGCTGCAGATTCTGAGGAGACTGGGCCTCGTGCAAACACATTTTCTTATTCTTGTATTCATCGTATTAGGATGTATTCGTTGTTTCCTGCATTGCTTATTTTCTTCTGTTTTTTCTTGTGTCCTTCCTGTTTCTCTCCTCAATCGATTAATCAGTTGGTCATTAATCAATTCATATTGTTAATGAGTTAAATTAAGTAACTGAAATGTTAATGGGTATTTTTTCCAAAAATCTATATTGAGAAAATAATCATGGTTCAGACCTGGTTTTAGGGTCAAGTTAGAACCAGGTGTAGGTCAGGGAGTGCATCATGTCAGTGAGGGTCCTGACAAAGACAGACGTACCTGTGTATGTGTGTTTCCTGTGTCCAGATGGGAAGACCATCCGTCAGTGTATCAGGTACACAGACTGCGATAACTCTCGTCTCAGCCAGATGTTCCCATCCATCTCCAGCTTCAACTACCGCTGCTGCAGCAGCAACCTGTGCAACTCGGGAAGCACAGTTACCACGGCGACATCGGTCCTGGCCCTGGCGGGGTCCCTGCTGGGTGTTTGGTGGTGCTGGGTCTGAAGGTGCGGTGCACGAATCCCTGCCATGGTTGAGTCTCTAGGATCAGTAGCTGTGAAAAGTTCATTTGAGCTAAACAGGTTATATTTTATTCGGCTGGTGCAGCTCAGGTCTGAAGGACCCATTCACCTTCTTTGCTAATTTCATCATCATACTTTATTCTGGTTTAACAATAAATACAAGAGAAAATGACCACTCTTTGTTTTGTTGTATTTTGCTTCAAATTGAAATTCCTGTTCCTTCCTGGTAACACTCTGGTTCTTTAATGGAGAAACCATCAGGTGTTTCTAAATCGTCTGTCGCATCAGATTAAATCACCTTTTGTTCATAAACACGATTTTACAGTGTCTCACAATAATGTTTCTGGTGGAGTTCAGTCAGTGGTGGAAGAAGCACTCGCAGCTTTTACTCGAGTATAAAGGTATTGGCATCCAAATATACCTGAAGTAGCAAAAGTAGTCATAATGCAGAAAGGCACATTACACATTAATGTATATATTATTGGGTTATAGTCATCAATGCATTATTTAATGTCAGGTTTTATATAAATTACTGCAATGACTTGTACGGGACATCGTAGGCTCCTCTCATTTCACTCTATGTGCTTTACGGTCGCTATTACAGACCGTCAGGTGGTGAATGTGGGACCTCGTGGGTCTGCAGGTGCCTGAGACTCGTATACAATATAATCGTTTCTGTAGAAACTTGGTTTTATTTGACTGGGATGTAATTCTTAATGAAAGCAGAAGAAAACTGGACACAGTCTCTATACAGACCAAAGCACCTGATTTTTAAAGGTACTGTTTGTGATGGGAGCTGTAGCAGTGGGAGAACCTGCGAGAGGCCACCCTCAGGTCAGTGAGTTTTATTGCAGGTGGACAGACATGTAACAGCACAGCTGTGGTCTACAAAACTGACTAATAATACATTTAAAACAAGTTTACAAAAGGTGGGAGCAAATACCTAAAGTGATACAACTCTTTACTGTAGCCCTTTAATGCATGAACAAGAAAGCACAACACAGTTATTTAAGGCAAATGACTACAGCACACTGACAAACAGCAACACAGTAAAACAGCACAGCAGCAGGAAGGAAACAGGCTTCATGTTCACACACTCCACACACAGCTGATGGACACTAAACTGTCAAACAAAAGAAATGGAAGAGTTGCTCACAGCCGAGAAAAAGGTCGGTACACGGCGGACGGTGTGAAACAGCTCCAGAGAAATCCGAGAAAACACAACTAGTAATAGATTTTTAAGAAGGACTTTGTGTTTGCGAAGCGAACTTCCAGTGTCCCAGTTTGATGGATGCTGTAGTGAATAGTGTGTTGGTGTTTTTTGGTGGTTGGTGCACTAGCTGCTGGGAAACTGTCCAAATACATGACGTATTAACTGTTGACAATGTGCTAAATACCTTTGTAGTTACACAGAGAACTGAACTGCAGGCAGAACCTCATCTCCAAAGCCAAGTCTCAGGTTTAGCTCGTAACATGGACGGGTCATGAAACAACGGGCCCCTGGGCACAGGCATGTAAAGGGCCCCCACCTCCTACAACGGAGCCCCAGACTGAGACACATAAATGTAATGAACGTGCTGTTCAGCATTGCTCCAGTCATGCTTCACTGGCAGTGAGGCCTGTTTCACACATCTTACCAGGGGTTTATCCTTTATAATAGAAAACACTTTACAGCAACAGGAAATGACACCGTACCTGCACCAAATGTGACTTTAGAGCCTTACCACCATTTAGACTGAGTAAAGGAACATAACAGTGTTTATCAATGATTTTTTCTTGTGTTCACCAGCTGTCGCTTTCTTTCCAGCTGTGAGCACCTCATCTTTTCCTTTGTGCATTGCATCATAGGAGAATAATGTCCATCAACAGTGTTTACTCTGGCTACACCAGTGTGAAGACCAAACCTGCAGAGACTGAAGAGACTGCCTGTTTCAGTCACTCATGTCTCCCAGTCCGTCCTCATCAATCTGTCGTCCAATCACTTCCAGCTGCACCACCTTCTTCTGTCCTTTCTGCTCCACCTGTTGCTCTGGTTTCTCTGATTGGGCGTACCAGGGCTGAGGGGCGGAGCTTCCGCAGGCCCGACCTCCTCTACGGAAACCTCCTCTGCCGGCTCGGACTAACCCCCATCCCTGCAGGTGGGCGTCAGACCCTCCTTCCTGTACTCCTCTGGTCTGATCCAGCTCTTTGGCGCTGAGAGATGACATCCGGACGGGAACTGTGTTGCCGAATTTAGAGTAGTCGACACAATAGCGGCCGTCCTCCTCTGTGATGATGGAGACGAAGCGTCTCCCCCACAGAATTTCCTCAGGAGTGTAGGAGGTCCGGGCCTGCATGCTGATCCCTGTGGTCTCCACCACCCCTACGGACAGAGACTTGTGAGATTTCAGGGCTCTTATTTTGGAGAGTTTCTGCCCCCTTGTGGCCAAACATTTCTTCCTGCAGCTTTGAGAACCAACACATTAAACTTAGACTGAAAGCTGCTCTGACCTGTATTTTAATATGAACATGGATCAGAGGAAACTTGTATTTGAAAGCTAGTAGTGATGAACCTGCAGAGAATGATCAGCTGAATGTGTGTATGGTTCTTAGTACTGAGTTTCAGCTCGTTTAGTGTCCTGAAAAACCAGTGTAGCTTTAAGAACGTGAACACACTCATCTACACTAAAGTTGTTTTCACGGGCATAACTGTTAATATTCTGTTTGCATGTGAGTTTCCTGTGAAATGTGCTGCTTGCATTTTTATATTAACTGTATTTTGAAAATTGAAGCTGCACACCCTGCAAAACTGGAGACAGTGCATGTTTGATTTGATAAATCAAGAGATAATACTTTTATCAATCCAAAATCAATTATTGACTAATCTTTTATTTGCAACAACAAAATGCACCAACCTGATTTCAGCTGAAATTTAAACTAGTAAATATCTAGCCCTACACTGGTAGCGTCATGTTAGCTCCTCCGCATTAGTAGGCCTGTGTTAGCATTTATGTTTAGTGCCCATCTGTATCCATGGATCCAGATGGGCAGGGTTCCTGACCTTCCAGGATGACGATAATCTCCAGGTCCTCGGAGGCCAGCGACTGGGCCGAGAGCTCGTACAGAGGACTTCCTCTTTCCATGGTGTGGCTGATGATCAGAGGAGAAACCAGGAAGATGCCATTGCTCCTCAGAGGGTTCTCCACCTGGATGTCCAGCTGACACACTGGGATAACCTCGCCCTCAGCCGTCACTGTCCGCCGGATCACCTGGAGGCAAAGCTCACAGTCAGTGTCATTCCACATGGCAGCAGCAGGTTTTCATGGTCAAGCAGTCGTATTATGAGGGACAAACTGGAATATTGGTTTTATGGCATTATGGAGAAACGGAGTGGCCCTTGGCAGAGGTCTGCACTCTGAGTGCTGTCTAGTTCATCCATGCATCTATTGCTCAAGACCACATGACCAAACAAGAAGTGTTGTATTGTGGTTGAAAGACGTCACCTGCAGCTGGATGGTGGCAGAGATGATCATGCTCTTCCTCAGGTCTCCAACTCGGAACATGAAGGTTGGCCGGCTGTTTCGCGGTGCAATGACAGCATTTCTGGAAAAGATGAGTGTTTCTGCTCGGCGGTTGGCCTGGGCCGTCTTCATGAAGACGCAGCCAAGCATCACGGCATTGATGATGAGCCCCAAAATATTTTGTATGATCAGCACAGTGATGGCCAGAGGACATTCCTCCGTCACCATCCTGCCTCCAAAACCAATGGTCACCTGGAGCAGATGACATCCATGGTTACAAACAACAAACCGCTGCACCTGGATCAGTCCACCACAGTAACAACTCTCACCTGGACTTCGATGGAGAAGAGGAAGGCAGAGGTGAATGAGTGGATGGCGGTGACACAGGGGATGGGGCCCGGCTCGGCATCAGGGTCACGAGGCTCCAGGTCTCCGTGAGCGAAGGCCACAAGCCACCAGACCATAGCAAAGAGCATCCAGGAGCAGAGAAAGGCTGAGGTGAAGATGAGGAAGGAGTGTTGCCACTTCAAATCCACCATGGTGGTGAAAACATCCTGCAGGAAGCGACCCTGCAACGCCGAGAAGACAACGGTCAGTAGAGCAGACGGGAAGACGGACCACACCTCAGTCTTATTTAAGTACAGAGGAACGAGAACATGTCTCAGATGTGCTTTCATTCATTGTATTAGCATATTTGTTATACAGTGCTACATGGAAATCACTGCAGCAGCGATGTCCCTGGCTGGGAGGAAATACGGAGCACGGCCAAAATTAGCCTACAAAAGCACTAGGAGTTCAACTAACTTTTTACATGCATTTGAAAATGTGCCACCCCTCTCTGACTCTGTGCCCCATCTTGGCCAGCACACCCAAAGTTTTCTAGATCCGCCTCTGCACTGCGTGTAGTGAGTGACAGCAGCGCTCTGACTTTACCTGCTATCAATAATGCTGTACGATAATCGATCGGGACGCACAGAATACCATGGCTCCTGAATTGCTTTCATGTGTATGTGTGTGTAATAGTGCCATGAGCGTTTGTTCTCCGTGTATAGTAACAAGGCCGTTTTTTGGTATTGTGGTTGAAAAGCGATCCTGTGAACCAGTTCACACAAAACACAGACAGAAGTCGGTTACACTGCTCTTTCTGATTTCAGGATATTGGATAAAGGGCAGTGCTTTTATTGCTGAGGGTGTACTATTTCCCAGCTATGCTGCTTCAGTTGTTTTAGTTGAAATCATCTGAGAACAGAGTAAAAGGATAAGGATAATCACCTTTATAAAACCAGTGACATAAAAGGGATGCGTAGACACCAAGGTAACTACAGTACATCACTGTACAGTGTTGATGATGGATATTTCCGCTGCTGTGTGCAGGTTGTTGTTTTTTGTGTATCTGAAACAACCCCTGAGACGATGTAATGAAGAGGCGTGGAGCCAGGGTTCCATGTCCAGAACCCAAGAGAGAGTGTTCATCCTGCTTTGTCATCATACCTGATGTGGCACTGACCCTCTGGAACAGATCGACTTCAGGTGTCATCCACACACACTACATCATCTGAATACATTTTCCAAGGCATGAATCTGAAGTGAACTGCTGACCTGTGAACTGGCATGGACTGAGCCTACAGAGAGGAAATGACCAAAAACATGAAGTGATCCAAGTTCTGATCAGAAAGCTGTTCTCGCTACACAGCTTTGGTAATGTCAGCTGTTTTGTAAATGCAGTAATTAATAATCAGCTGGACAGCCATTACCACAGACATGATGCTCAGCAGTAGCCTTGTTTTCTGAGGCTGCTTAAAAATGCAGAGCTTAGCTGTCAGCCCCTCACTCAGGTCTACAGAGGGCATCCCAACCAGAAGCATCAAGGTGTGGTATGGAAAAACCACACCGAGTGAGAGGACAGCTCTCCAGAGAGTCACTTAGACTGCAGAGAGGATCACTGGCTCTCAAACATTCTGTACACGCACAGCTGCAGAAACAAGTACGGGCCTTCCTCAGGGACCCACACCATCAGGTGGAGAAACTCAGCTTCAGCAGTAGGAGGACCAGGTTCACCGGAGGCTTCTCTCCAGCAGCCCTTGGACTGGTAGAGAAACAGAGTCAGGCTGGAGAGATACATGTAGGCAGGTGACAGAGGACACATCTACAGGTCTCGGTATGAAGATGAATTTAAACGTTTATCTGAAGTGAAAATGAGACTGAGTCAGACAGGTGGGCAAGTCACTGTGGTTCTAGTCATGTGTCTCACATGTAAGATTAGTTCATTTTTATGAGTGAAACGTCAAAGGGAGCAAGAAGAATCAACGTTGTGCATTTGGCAGAATGAGCCCCAGATTCACGACTAACAAATATTGTGATCGCAGATTAATCTGCTGAGAATTTTCTGGATTTATTGTCTAGTTTACAAAAAGAGTCAGAGATGATGAGATCACACATCTTGTTTATTCCGACCGACAGAGATCCAGTTTCCTTTGTCACAAGTCAAGAGACCAAATATTTGAGCAGCCGGGCCTGAAAAATGGTTCAAGGTTTGTGTCTGAAAATTGAATTGATGATCAAAAAAGTGTCTTAATTGTCTATTTGTTTGTTGGCACTCTATCTACATGTGTTCATTATTCTTTTTATTCTTCATTCGGATCCCCAGTAACTTCCACAAAGCCTTGCTAGTCTCCCTGGGTGCCACACAAAAACAATAACAAAACAAGCAATATTTTAAAAACGTCTCAAGGTATCAATAAACTGTTCTCCTTTAACTTCATTTCCAAAACAAGTTGACTTGGTGAATGTGTCATGTACAATGGCAAACTGCTCCACTTTGTTTCCTTGCATTAGTTTTTGAAACAGGAAACAAATGGTAAATGGTCTTATACTTGTATAGCACCTTTTTACGCTTTTACAGCACACTCAAAGCGCTTTCACATTATTTCACATTTGCACTCCCAAACACTCACACACACCGGTGACATCACCAGAAGCAACTGGGTGTTTAGTGTCTTGCTCAAGGACAGTTCGACATGTTGACTGGACAAGCAGGGAATCGAACTGCTAATCCTCCGGTTAGGAAACGACCCGCTCTACCTCCTGAGCCACAGCTGCCCCCAAGTAGAAAACATCCTTTTGGTGCATTCCTGGTATTATACTTATGGCCATTACTTGTGTATAACAGTTGATGGTGGAGGACATTTGTGATTTTAGGCAAAGAAATATTTCTTATAAACCAAAGCAGAGAAACCCTGTCCCTCACCAGTGGCCTGAGGTTGTGTGTGTCCTGACAGCGTTTGTTCTTCTGTTGGTGCTCAGACTGAGTCTGCTCTGTAATACCTGCTCTCTGATGTTCTTGTGTGCCACGTTGCATGAGCCGCTCTTGGTAATGAAGCGGGCTCTCTGGGATCTGGAGCGGCTGCGGTTTGGCTGGTTCTGGTCCTCTGCCATACGGGTTAACAGGAAGCTGTCAGGCAGGACACCCTTTCTGGCCAACATGATGCTGCACTGCCTGTGTACACACACACACACTGCTTAATGCATTAAAGGACAGGATGTGGTGTCGCTCAGCTAACCCCCCCCCCCTCTTGACAAGGGAGGGG